TTGCAACATAGTCCGTTAAGTTAGGTTTTCAAATCGCCGAAGTGGGATTCTGAGTTTTAAGGTACTACCGACAAAAACAGTTAATAAAAAGTACATATTACTGGCGTAGATTTCTATGTAGCTTGAACCCAATTCTGACGCCCAAGCACATGTGCACACCGTCTTCCTCCGATCCGTGCAAGCTGATGTGTGTCTATGCCCCAACAACAGCGCATATCGTGGTGAGATGTTCTGGAGATAGCCTAGTAAATGTGATTGGCACAGTCAATCGATGCTGCCGGGAGAGGGCTGTCACAAAACAACAAACACTGGTTCCCCGAGTCTCATGGCTGAAATACACATCAGACCATTTTTACTCGAAAGTTAGTGCACAAAAGCACGCGCTTGAAAGCACATGCAGAGGGGCCAGCGAAATAATTTTTAAGATCATGTAAAGCTATTTTGTTCCTCCTCGAGTTGGATTACCCACCACCCGATACAAGTTGTCTAATTAATCGTGCAACCATAATCTGTCAAAGAGACTGGATGTGATTGCCTGAAGCACGAAATAGACCCTCGTAGCAGAGCGGATGGGCTTGGGTCCATTGAACTGCGACATTAGGCATAGCAGCGAGGGCAATGGACAAGCCCTATTTCGACAAACAGCCGCAGGAAGTAGCTTTGGGCGGGTTTTGACTGTTTTTCACACCAGGATTGGTTTGACGTTGATGTTTGACCGATTTAGCTTGAGGACGAGAATGACGAAACACCACGGCAACTGACCTTGGTCGGTCAGGTAAGAATCGATTTGCGGTAAAGTGGATCAATTAGCCGTCAACCCTGGTCAGGCGTACTTGGATAGGTTGATTCGATCTAGGCTCTGGATGATTTGGGGAGTAGAAGCAAAACAAATGGTTGAGTGTATAGGTGCGAGAGGACACATCCACTGCTTAATGTATCACATTGTGAAACATCGCTCTAACTGCTTGCAACTTACGTACGTTTTCACCGAACAACGTGAGGAAGGCCACATTTTCAAAGTTATTCATTTAGTGTTTGCTTTCCTCAGCCAAGAATTAGTCACCCTTAAGATAACATCCACTACATTATTGTAAAGAAGAAGAAGATCTTCCAATGCAGTTACAAAATGTTTGTTTCACGTGCTCCATCAAGAATCTTTCAAGGGTATCCCATCAAAATTATCGTGTGAACACTGTCTCAGGAAGTCGGTCCAGTTGTATCCAGAGTTACCAGGGGAACCAAAACCCAGTAAACTATTCATACTGTTTTTGAGTGCTCACAGTGGTTCTGAGCATACCCAGGTGAGCAGAATGAATTCCACTTGTATGTACAAAGTCGCACCCATTACTGCTCAACTTATGCGTCTTCCTGGGATAAATATTCCTTCATATCTTCACGCAATTTCGCGAGTGAGATACTGATACGTTTCCCTTGGGAATTGTCCATATTAACAATGATGGAAGGCCTCGTTTTTATATCCAACTCCACATCGGACTCAGGAGAACTGGAACTGGATGATTCAGAAGGTTCTGTCGGTTCGATCCAATTAACCTCATGCTCGGATACTCGTCGAGTTGGTGTATTAATGCTCACTCGTTGATTCCAATCAAGACTGGAGCGTCTCGAAAACGACTGATGGGAACTAGACGTGGAACTTGGAGTGGTTGCACTGGATTGGGACAACACTTCTTCTGGAACTGGTCGAACTTTTTGTTCAAATGGCATGATAATTAATTTACTTGTCTTATGTGTATTCATCACACTGACTTGACTACTAGGATGATCGCTTTGCACACTACGATGTTCGCACGAAGCGAGGCTTTGCACAGTTTGACTCTGTTGATCTGCATTGTCAATCTTTTCAGCTGGTACTACTTCTGGAAGAGCCAACAGTGCTCGAGAAGGCTCGACAGTAACTTTCTCCTGATGAGCTTTGTCCAAGGGCACATCGTAGTGTACGTCACGGTCCAGTAAAACACTGTCGACAACACCGTTTTCTTTCGTCACAACGGAAGTCCTGACAGCAATGTGCAGCACACCCTTGCTTGTAAATCCTTTCCGTGGTACAGCCACTGATGTTGAATCGGGTGACTCGGGGATGGCTAACTGTCGGTCATTCTCAGCATTGCCTTGTTTTTCATTCATATTTTCAATCTAAGTTCCAAATGGCATATGCCACAAGTAATTTCGATGTAACTTGAAGCATCATTCGTGCAATTATTTTGACAATAATGGTGGTTATGGAATTCACGAGCTACGTGTGTTGAATAGTTGACAATAACGGGTTGAATGAGAACTACTTGCTACACTTGATGTTCAACATTAAAGCACTATTGCAAAGTCCGATCGCTGTCAGTCACAGCATGCTGTCAGAAGCCCTTACGGATCGACCGTTTTGACCGGGCAATCGATATGGGATTAGTTTATTTTCTCATTGGTTGAAGGATAGGTCACACGAACCGCATAACACGCTAGTAAGCATGTTTGTTCAAAGCTTGATCACTCTGTAGATAAATACAAAGGGGCTTTAATCTGTAAACTGTTTGTTTCAGAACTCGTATTCGTAACTTCTTGCATCTGGCTCATTTCTGTTGATTTCTGAACTGTGAAATGTGATGTATATTATTTTGCTTACGCCCGAATACATATCAACTCACTGAATAATTGCTTGTACGATGGAATTGCTCAACAAATTTTTATTATACAGATGACGGATTGAAACCAAATTTTACTAATGCTTTTGAATCTCATTATGTATATATGCTAGCATAATTAAATTTAAACAGTGATTTCCAGGAATAAGCTCGAAAAAGGTCAGTCGAAACAACCAATTTCTTAAGTGTATAGATTTTATTCACATCTTTTCAGTGTATTTTTGAAAAAAATAGGAGACTTTTTTATGTTATGAAGCTGGAGCGCCCAATCAGATAATTGGACATAAATGTATAAGTGCCACGCAAATAACTGATGATATACATTTATTCAAAAGTTTTAAGGTGAAACGTCCAGAATGTCATGTATGAAGTCATCCTAACATGGTACCCTAAACAGTAGTCTATTTATGTTCCTTCAGTTAAGTTCAGTTTAAACAACCATTAAGTATGCCTTACCGTGCAACGCTTTTGATTGCTGTCTTTTGGCTACCCATTTGGGTGAGCAATGGGAGGCAAACAACAGGGTTGAAAGTAGAATCGAAGGGCTAATTGAGAAGTTCAGTGGACTAATGAAGCAGACAAATTGAAAAGATGCATGAACGCCACTGTTTACGGCATCCAGCTACATCAATGAATGTCCCTGACCATTGGTTACAACCATCCCGAGGTCACCAGCCAGGGAGCCTAACGGGAACTATGTGACCCAGACACCTAGTTAGGGTTTTCATACGCTTCTGCCAGGTATTACTTGGTCAGCCTGAGAAATATTCCACCAAAAATCTGCCAATAATGATTGTAGTAGTAGTGTTGAAGATGACATCGTTGGCACGACAGATGTGCTGATGGCCCGGTCTAGATGAAGATATTGGTCGAACCGCTAAAAATTGCTAGGCGTACCTACAAAAGCAGAAGTCAAAACCGAAGAGTTGGGCACCATGGCCAGAAAGCTGCATTCCTTGGTAACGCGTGCACGCCGACTTCTGTGGACCATTTCCCAGTCATTATCAAGCACTGGTACTTATCGATTCGTACCCAAAATAGCCTGAAGTGTTTCTAACCAGCACACCAACTAAATCATTCGTGATTAGGGTGCTACGAAAGTGTTTCAGTCGAGAAGGTATTCCTCATGTGTTGGTGACTGACAGTGGATCGCAATTCTGCACTGCGGAGTTGAAAACTTGGCTACACAGTATTGGCTGCCGACATCTGCGCACAGCACCACGTCACCCCTGCGCGAACGGCGCAGCAGACAACTTGGTGAAAACCATGAAGAGTGCCATTGTCACTGCACATCCAAGGACAATTTCACAGTTGGAGATACTCCTAGACAACTTCCTGCAGCAATACCGGAATGCCGCACGTGCTACCACCAAAAAGAGCCCAGTGAAACTGTTTAAAACCAGATGCGTACGATCCTCACTACGATACGTTGATTCACGTGACGTCGTATAATTCCGAGTAAACAAACTGACGCAATCGATAGAAATCATTACCCGCAAGATTGGTCAATCTGTGATCGAGATCACAGACTTAAAAGATGTCGCGACGGTTCATCGATGTCACATCGATAAAATTCACTTCAAAGAAAATCCCACTTTGATTGAAGATCCTGCCTAAAGAAACCCAAGAAAACCTGCTCTGCGATACGCAGTCAACGACCACAGAAGATCAAAGGCAGAAGCTCCCTATACCGGGAATGTCTACCGACGAGAATACGCCACTGGCAATCTAACGACCAATCAGAAGAGCAAGCCAATTTAACGAAGCTCTCTTGAGGGAGCTGAGTTGTGGTGATCCAGTCCTACGTGACGACGGCTACCCTGGAGCGGCGCGTTACAGTTTCTGGACACCTTCGATCAATCGAATTTGAAGCGTGACGCTAATGACGCACGTACGCGTCACGGCTTCTGACTACGAGCTATTGGTGGATCGTGCCAGCCAATCCGAGACAGTGCAGACAGAAGCAGAAGTCTGTAAGCAATACTGCAATACAATTGGTAGAAGCCTACTTAACCAATGACCTTCTTTTGTACATATTATTTAATCACCTCCATTTCTTCCAATAAACCAACTACGTACTATAATTCCTGTGGACTTTTCCTTGTATTTCGTTCACGTGGGATATTGCGAGCTCGGAAAGCCTTCGATGAACTCCAAAGGATCATGATCGAACAACACCTGACACTGAATTTACCGGTGATTGGCAAGCACTTTACAGTAGTAACGGATGCCAGTGACGTGGGAGTGGGAGCCGTACCCAAACAAGCAAGTGGAGTGGTAGAATACGCAAACAGAATCCTTACTCCGACAGAAAGGAAATATTCCACCACGGAAAAAGAATGTCTTGCTATCGTTGTTGTTGTTCATCTGAAGCGATATTCCTTTTAGAGTAAGGCGTACAACGGTTCGGCGATGTTCGTACAGTTTTTAACGAACCGGCTATAGTATGCGGCACAGTCCAGAAACCGTCTTAATGTTCTTTTCGATGTTGGGCGTGCAAACTCATTTAGCTCGAGGATCTTCTCAGGCAGTAGCTTCACCTTGTGTCCAAGTAAAGTCACTGTCGGCTTTCCAATTTGGGACTTCGATGCATTGATCCGAAGGATCGATTCTTGGATTCTTTTCGGAACATTTTCCAAGTGGAATGTGTGTTCGGTTGTTGCTTGACTGCAGACAACAATATCGCCGCCATACACCACCACGTTGGGGATGCCTTCGAGTAATTTCAACATGAGGAGGGGGAATGTAAATGGTGCTCCTGATAATCCAAATGGCATTCGTTTGAACTGATATTAGTTGTTTCCGACTCTGAACGCCGTTTTCTCTCAATCAGCTTCCTTTATTGGTATTTGCCAATATCCCGGACGTAGATCCAACACTGAGAACACCTTTACACTTTGCAGTTGGTCCAACGTAACTGCCATGGTCGGGACTGGCACTGGCTTGTTTATAGTCACAGTGTTTACTTGGCAGAAATCCACAGAGAACCGAAATTTACCATTGGGCCTTTTCACCAGCAGCACGGGCGAGTTATACGGACTTCGAGTTTCTTCGATGATTTCTTCCTTTAACATTTGTTCGACCTGTCGTTTGACTTCATTCATCAAGTGTAGTGGAATTCGACGTGAAACATGGGCTCAAAACTTTCCTGCCTTTATTGGAATTTCGTGTTCGACCCAGTTACAGAACCTGTAGGGGTCATCA